ATATAAAAAAAAGAAAAAAAAAAATATATATAAGAAAATCTCCTCTTCAGCACTTCAGAGAGCTTAAAATTAAATGGATCTCTGTTTTTATTTAGTTCCTTGGAATTGTCTTGTACTCCCCCGCTGGAAAACAAGCAGCGCAAAACCTTTCCATCCAAGATATCTACACAGCACCTTTTGATGAATGGGTCTAAATCAAGAAACCTCCCCAAAACGAGAGGTAGTGTGAGGTTATTTTTTATAAATACCTTGGGAGTTTTATTTGGCTGTTTGTAACCTCTCTTGAGTGCTTAATTCTAAGTGTGGTGTGAGAAGAAAGTTGTTCAGTTTACTATCCACGGACTTGCTTTTCTTCTGTTGTTTGAATAGGTCCAAACAGTAAGTTAATGGAGAGCAGGCCATCAGTATTAGCAAAATTTCTCCCTGGTGGTTCTGGACAGGAGCTAGGAAACACCAGCAGCTCAGAAGGGGAAAAGGATTCTCCACCACCAGAGTGGGACTCTGTGCCTCTTCACAAAGCTGGCAGCTGTAAGTAATCACGAGAGGATGACAGAATTAGTCTTCTGCAATGAGTATCCGTAGGTAGCCTTGGTCTGTTTATAGATCTTCCTGTCTTTTTTTCCACTGCATAGTGGTGCACCCGTTTTCTGCTGTAGGCCTCATACTGATAGCAGCTGGTATGATTTGGGAGGTTTGAAAACTGCATGGGCAGAACATGGGCCGTTCAGCAGTTCTTCAGTGATGAATGTGATTCAGAAGCTGCTGGGAAAATTGAGGAAATGAGAAGTACTGCTCAAAACAAAATGTATTTTCTACAGCAGAAGGGGTTTTGCTTGGTCAAATCTGCTGCAGCCAAAGTTGAAACTAATTACATGATTTGTCCTTGAGAGGGAAACACTGAAAACGCCTTAATACAGTGGCTAGCGTGGGGCACTGTTACAAGCTTTTTGGTTTTGTTAAGTCCCTTTGTGGGAACCGAATCACCTTCCTCTTGGTTGCCTGCACATATAGTTATCCCTCCCCACAGCGCTCACTTAGAAAGCTTCTTTCTTCTGTACAGATCGCTTTATCGTGGTGCTTTTATTGCAATACAGCCTCTCTGAAAATAGGTAGTAAACCTGAATAATGATAGGTGACTGTAGAGAAGGAGCTACTTTGATGACTGGGATCAGCCTTTGTCACAGTTCCTCGATCTGAACAGAAAGGAGAGCAGAAGTTTGAGAAGCCTTTGTTTTAACATAAATACTACAGGAAAGTGTTTTGTGTTTCTCTTTATAGCTACGGACAACCTTTATAAACTCTCTTTACAAACCCTGAACGCAGATGCTTTCCTGAAACAGCGACAGCCCTCGCCAACACCTGCCTCTCCGTCTCCTCCTCCTCCTCCTGCATCTTTAGCTTTTGGGCCCCGAGGGGGCACTTACAGCAGCATTGTGAACAGCAGCTGCAGCAAGTGAGTCCAAATCTGCACCTCGTGAGTCCAAATCTGCACCTCCTACTGATTTCCCAAGCACAGAACACTTGTGGAACCCACGTGCTTCATACACTGCATCTCCGTTTTCTCAGACCCATTTCCTCTTCCCATGGAAACTGCTTTTTTGCAGATACTACTGTGCATATCTTACCATGCTATTTATATTTTTCTGGGGTTTCTTACGACTTGGTAGATCGGAAAAATGTGCAATTACATGAACTGTTGAGCTGTTGTTAACATTTTCACGAATGCTGCTTTTTAAATCAAAATGCTTAAGTCCAAAACCTTACTTTTTTTTTTTTCTTTTTTTTTTTTTCTCCTCTCCTTTAAGTGAAACGAAAAGCAAGCAGCCTAACGGTACCAAACATAAACTGGCAAAGGCAGCTTCTCTTCCAGGCAGGAATGGTAACCCCACTTTTGCTGCTGTAGCTGCAGGTTATGACAAGAGCCCAGGTACTAGAACCAGTTTGGAGTTCTGAGTATTTCCCAAATACTCTGTTATTTTGGGGGGGAGGGGGGTGTATTTATTTTATTCATTTTATATATATATTCTTGCAGGTGGCAGTGGTTTACCAAAGGTTTCTCCAAGCAAGATGGATGTTTCCAGCAATACCAGCATTTCCCACACAGTTGTTGACAGTGATGGCTCTGACAGGTAATTTTTACATTCTCTAGGCAAATACCTAGGCCTCTAGAAAAGAAGATTGTAAGCTGTTAATGGCATTTTGAAGGTAGTGACAGAATTCATTCTGGTTCCTTTTTCTTTTTTTCCTTTTTTTTTTTTTAACCTGTTTTTTTTAAAGTCTGGGCATAGCATCTCTCACCTTGCAAAAAAAATTTAGAAATTAACGAGTGACTCAGGAGTAAAGAGAAGGGTGTTCTGGATGTGATGGTGGCTTTCTCCCCCTCATTCTCAGTAACTCAACAATCTTCTCTTCCCTGGGCATCCAAACAATGAGAAATCAGCTTGGCTCTTTCAGTATTGAGGAGTGTGAACCAAGGTCACTTGAAATAGTGTACGGGCAGAATATCTTGCTGTACAGCAGCATCTTTCACGCCCAGTTCCAACACTGATACCAGAACTATCGCTGGGCTTTGCGTTAGGAGGAGGAGCAGAATACAGCTGCGCTCAGTCACGTTCCCCAAGGCATGGTGTCTTTTGATACGCTTTGGCAGTGCACGTCTGTCTCGGTTGTAAAAAGCAGTGAGCGTCTCGTAACCTTTCTGGAATAGGAAAGAGACTTGAATTCAAGTTTCAATATGCAAAGGAATCGCTCTTCTGAGCAAAGTTTGTTGGTGGAGTTTTGGTTTGTTTTTGTAAATGTTTATCACTGGTTCCAGTTAACTCATCTGTATTTTCAAGAAGCTTGCCCACAAGTTAGAGTGTGAGCATTTGTATTCCTTCTGAGTGGTTCTAAATTTTATCTGCTTGTCAAAAAAACTGCGCTATGGCTTGGTCCCTATATGTGTTCTGAAAAACTGAGCAAAAGGGCTACTCAGGTTTGTGCCGGAGCTCAGTCTACAGATTAAAGAGCTTTATATCTAGAGCAGTGTGTCAGTCCAAAGTGGATGTATACACAGGAAAATGGTATTTCATTGAAATCTATTGTTAAAACAAAAATAAGCTGATTTCCTAACTCTTAATCATCATTAAATATGTATATATATTTGTATATAGATTAGTAAGTCAATCTTGTTGGTAGTACTGTGTTAATGAGTTGTATATTGCTTTCCCATTACTCCGTAATACTTAGTTCGGGTTTGTGGAGTCCTATCAGCAATCCCAGCAGTCCTGACTTCACACCTCTCAATTCATTCTCTGCATTTGGACATTCTTTCAACTTAACTGGAGGTGAGTTTTTGTTTTCAAATATTTTCCGTATTCAAATACTGGTAAAGAAATGCTGTGTCTCCATTCCACTGGTCTAAATTCAGGTACTGTTCCCATCCCTGCCTCTAAAAAGGATGACTATGTAGGAAAGCGTGTTAGAAATTTGGTGTTGATTTCTGTGTTTCAGTCCAGAGAGAGTTAGTGGAAACTCTTAGAGTGTTTGTTGGGCTGGAAATACTTGGTTTTGAAATTTCTTGGTTTCAGTAAAATTTCTTGATACTTGTTTTTTCCTGAGTCTTCCTCCCTTCCATTCTTCCCCCTGAAGCTTTACTGTAGGTCTTTAAAAGTGTGCCATGGGGCCTGTGGTTTCCTGAACACTTCACACCTGCGTAAAACCATTGCTCTATAAATGAGGCAATGGCCCATCCCTCGTGTTGCTTTCCTCTTGTGTTTTCCTCCAGCGTTTGTATAGCTGCATGATGAACTGATGCATACCAAAACTGCTGTTAATTCCTGTGTTTAAATCTTTAGCTAAACATTCCATAAGTGACTACTGAGATGGGCCTTGATGCAGGCAGGCGATACTGTAGGGTGCAGATGCCCTGCGTACTTACTGTACTGTATGTCTACAGAAAAATGCTGGGGGTCTGCAGTCAATAGCAGCTGCTGCTGTGGGGTTCTTTCATCTTCATTGACAACACTTGGCACCAGACTTTGAGGGGCTGCAGTAAGATGCCCGAGATCAGTTCTGTGTGCGGGGACAAAGGTGAACCACAAGCACTGGTGCCGCCCTCTCCTGCTCATGGCAGAGATGGGGTCTGGGCTGGGGCACAGCTAGTGCTGCCTCCCATACCAGGAGTTACCTGGGAAGGGAGCGCTGGGAGGCAAATGAGTGCTGCCATTACGAGAGGCTCCTTCAGCCCAGTCGCTTACTCCACCTGCAGTTAACTTGTTCTAGGGAACTGCTGGGACTGTTGGTATTGCTGTGCTTCTGTCCAGTTCCCTGACTGTTTGCTTTTGGGTAGATAATATCAGGAACCAAACAAATCCCATAGACTGATACTGAATTATACACAGTAGGCGTATAACTCTTTTTCACCACTAAAACCACGATTCTAACTTTGTAGCCACCATCTGATATAGGGCAAATGAGATCTGTGTTACTGTGTGACCTCTTGTAATTTCAGTTCTTGCACTGCAGCAGGACCTGCTAGAAAAATACAGGAAATAACGGAAGAGTATTAGTCTGCTGTGGCTCTTGGAAAAAGAGGAAGAGTAATTTATGTTTTATTTAATTTCATTTTTAGAGGTTTTTAGCAAACTTGGTTTAGCTCGATCTGCTTATGGGCAGGATGTTCAGAGAAACTGGAGTGAATTCAATAATGTTCCATCATCCATCTGGGATCCTTCAGCTACGGATTCTGTACCCTCCTGGCCAACAAGCTCGAGTTCCCCGACTCATACAACTGCAGTAAGTATTCGGTACAAATACAGCGTTTTAGTACTGTTACCAACCTGTTCTGTATCTGCCATCTAATTTCATTTAGAGGATTCTTAAATTGGGTGGAAAAAAGTCAGCTGAAGAATAAAGGAAAAGGGAAGCTATACGTATTCATCACTCTGCGTGGTTAAGTTGACATGGCTGTTGGACAAAGAGTGATTAGTCTGCTCGCTTGTGGATGATGAATCCACGTAAATTGCTTCACATAAAAATATTTCTCACAAGAGCATCTTGTGGCACTTACAAAGGTGTGTTCCATTCCCACGTGCTTCAGGATTGTGGAAAGAGCCGTTCTGCTCCTGTGCTGTGGCTGGACACTGCCTCCGTCACTTCCAGTTTGATGGACAGTTGCAAAGTAGCCAATATAATAACTTTCAGACTTTGATTCTGCTTCCTGAATCCAGCATTGCATCTACTTGTAAATCAACAAAAGATCAAAAAAACCCTTAATCTAAGAGACCTCAGATGTATTCTTTTCAGCTTAGAAAAAACACTAAAGGACTGAGGATAAGGTGAAGCCTTTAAACTGACTACTGATTTTGATGGAGATCTTGAGTATAGCCAAAGAAGAAGAAAAACCAACTTTTAAACAGATTGTAGCACTGCACTCTCATCCTTGTGCCTCTCTGTCTGTCAGAATAAAACTTATACCACAACAGCTGTCTTCAGTGCCAGCTGAAATCGTTCTTCATCTTGTCTTCTGAAAATGTTTTTGTAGTGAGTAAGAAGCAGTGTTTACGTCACCTGGTAGCAGCTCAGATGCAGTGGGGGAAGGCGGGGGGCAGGGGAGGCCGAAGAAGGTCACACAGCTTCTTGTAGTCACACACTCACTGATCCCACCCTTGTCATGCAGTTACAACTGTAGCTGTAACCTCACTAAAACTATGTAAGAGATTTTTGCTTTTTGGTCACATGGAGGGCAGATTTCTCAGCATTTGATAGAAGGAAGGATTGAGGACAACCAGAACAATCTCTCTAGCTCCTAACCTATTTCCTGGCCGCTTCTGAAAAATACCTGTAAGTGTGCTTCAGGAAGCATCGAGAGGGAAGCCAGACAAATGGTATAAAAGAATTCAGTCTCTCCCTTTAAATATTTTGATTGGGGGGGGGAGCAGCATTTTATGAGCTTATTCAAGGAGAAGATCACTTAATAAACAAGCAGCAGCAAACAGGCTGAAATGTTCAAAGCGTTTTTAATGATAGTGACTTTTTTTCAAGTGCTTATGGTGAGCCAGAACAGGAAAACTTGGCTATTCCTGCCACTGAACCTCCTTGCTCTAAGTGCTAGATAAGAGAGCAGGTAGCAGGCCAGGGCCCTGTCCTTTTCTCCTGTCTGGCACAAGAGCCAAAGCTGTTCTTGCAGACAGCACTTACATAGCAGCTTCTGTGTTACCCTCTTTTCTAGGAAGGCTTCTGGGGGGTTGATTTTGATCATTCCCTTTCCTTATTCCTCTTGCTTTCCCATTTATGTATAACTGTGCTTCTGTACTAAATAGCATTTGACTTGATGGGTCCCATCTCCACTCAGGCCTTGCTGCATTGCTGGTACTTCTTCCCCAGTTTCGTTATAACCACAGTCCCTCACTCCTCTCTCCTCCATTTCCCTGCATGTAGTTCTGTCTGACAGCCACTTTCTACCTCCTTCCACCAGCCTTGAAAGGGAGCAGCAGTCTCATCTAAGGTACTCTTCTCTGCCACTCCTTTCCTGGTTGCTTCTACTTTATGAGCAATTGCCTTTCTACCAGGCTCTCCCAAATGCTTTTGGGACACATAGGAATAGTTCCTGGCTCTTGCCCACAGGAGGAAATAGGGTGGACTTTTAGTGTGTTAGGGTTGGTGGCTGAGCAGCAGAATGAGTGTTTCCTGCTGTAGGCTTAGTAGTCTAATGCTTTAGAGCTTAAATAGAACCATTTAGTTATATAACAGTAATGAACTGTGACCCTAGTTTGGCTCAACTTCTCAGTGACACTAGAGAGTCCTAATGACATCGGCCCAGTTAGCCCCTCAGTGTGCTCAAAACTCCTGTCTGACCCTTGCTATCGCATTCTTTGAGGACCCTTTGGTCATGTGTTAGTGTCCAGCCAGTTTCAGGTATGATTAGACTGAGCATGTCTTCATTCCAGGGGAGAAAATAAAAACCTGACATGAAGACGTTTTAAGAGTTTACCTTGCTTACTTTTCTAAAGGGATTTTTACTTTAATCTTCAGATGCAGAGTACACTGATACTGGTTAACCTTTAGTGTGCATTCTCTGAGGGCTGAGATCTTGGGAAGGGATGCCCTTTCTCCACCCAGTAAATCCAAACATAAGGATGTTTGTACCTTATAGCACATACTCAACAAGTCCACTGCCTTTTTCAATGTATCAAGTTTACTGTATATTTGCAAATTGAATTTACAGCATATGTACGTTAAATCTATTGGCACTGAGGTATGTAGTGCGTGAAGCCTACATGTAGCAGGTTCTGTGCTAATATTAGCATGAAAGTTATGCTAACCTTTCTCATCTCCATCTTGGGCTGCTTCCGGGTATCACTTTCCACCACACCATGGGTTAGATTCCTCTGCTTGTTGCTTGCTACTGTTTGGGCTTTAATAAAACAGCTGACAAAACCTGGGCCATCTTCCTTTCTGCATGTGTTCTCTAGGCTTGCTGTACCTGTCCTATGCATCCTAAATGCATTTGTGACATGTTGCAGCACACCTGCATCTGCACCATGACCATTTGTCAGAGACTTCCAGATGTCTTGAGCCAGGACAGACTTACTGGAACTCCATGACAAATGGCCAGTTCTCCAGTCCCCTCTCCCTTCTGGAGAAATTTTGGATGGGGGAAAAAGTATATACTGGGAATGTGGGGAGGTACAGTGGGGCTGAACACAGGTAGGTTCATCCAAAATGTACAATTTATAACAGATATGTCTGAATACAAGGAGGTAAGTTGGCAAACAACCAAAAAAAGATCAAGGAATAGATTTCATTGCTACCTTCCATTACAACTTGAGTTTTGTGGGTTTTTCGAGACCTGAACCATATTTATCTACCTCATTGTAACTAGTTTAATTAAGCTTGAGCCTTTTGGCCCTTGTGTGTTAAAAGCTTGACTACTAGTAGTGCTTAAATTAGTAATGGTATGGGGATGTATAAGCTCAAATGAAAATGGCTTAAAAGCCTGTACTGTAACTGCACTCTGCAGCCCATTCAGTTACCAGACACATTTGGTGACCGTTAGTAGTGTGGTTCCTCTGGGCAAGCTCTAGTAAAGGGAGTTCAAAACTCCATGTTGCAGTGAAGAGGGAAGGGGTTCCACAGCAGGCTTGCTGCTGCTTAGATACTTTTCTTTCAGGGGTGCTGTAAACAAGGTAAAAATGGAGGTTACCAAACTGCTACTTACCTGGCTCTGTCTTTACTGCAGTCGATCCTTGGCAACCCAAGCGGCCTGTGGTCCACCACTCCGTTCAGCAGTTCCATTTGGTCAAGTAATCTCAACAGTGGCCTTCCCTTCACCACTCCAACAAACGCGTTGTCAGGCATTGATCTCATGGGTAGTGAAAACTCCTCCGCTGCTGCTCCTCCACCCGCTGCTGCCACCGCTGCGCCTTCCACCGTTGCCAAGCCTGCTGAAGACATGGGACAGACCTACAATCCTTGGAGAATTTGGAGCCCAACAATTGGAAGAAGAAGTTCAGATCCTTGGTCTAATTCACACTATCCTCATGAAAACTGAAGTTAAGCAAAAGGAAAGAACTCTTATCCAGGTCATGATGCAATTCTGAATGCAAATTTTTGAAACATCATTTTCAGGCTGTTGCTGGTCATTGCTCCCCCCCTCCCCCCTGCCAGTCATGCTTTCATCACTTGCTCCTTTTTAAAGTCTGTCCTGCAATATGGTAGTGTGAGATTGCAGATAAGCTTGAAAAAGCCTGGGTGTGGTCACAAATCCCAACTACAGCTGAAGCCTGTAAATCTGAACAATTTCACTGGTTTCATATTTTGACATCTGCCATCTTTATTTAGGAAACAATTTGAACTATAAAATAAGTGGTCCTGGCATGCAATACTTCTATGAAAAGTACTGGTTTGGGTTTTTAAATTTTTTCCAGTATTATCCTCCAAGTTCTAATTTAAAGTCAAAAGGCACTTTGTGCTAAAATGCAGAGTATTTTTTTAAAATAAGGCTGTCTTTGTTAACACAGGTTCTAAGAATGTTTAAAAAAAAAAAAACACAACAACAACAAAACCAACACAAAACCTTAAGAGCAAAATGGCTGAATGTAACAGCATTCTGTTGAGACTGTAATACACGGTCTGTGGTGTTTGTACATTTGTAAACCTGAATGCATTTTTAAGTTGAACCGAAATGCACGCAGCCAAGACTTGTGGAAGAAACAAGATACCTTGTGCATTTCTTATGGATACAACTTTGGGTTGTACTTTAAAATAAATACTGCTTTTTTTCAAGATCTGGGTGCTGTAATTCTGTTCTCCTGGTATTTTCTGAACTTGTGCGTGCATGAATCCACTTGGCAGTGGTAGCCTTCAGGCTCATAGTGCCTATATGAACAGAAACTTCACTGCAGATGAAACCTGGCTTCTCAACAGCGTGGGTTTGTATAGCAGTAGAGAATTCGAAATTGTTTTCAGGGTTACACAGTGCCACCCACTCAAAAATTTGCTGGATAGCAAAATGCTGGAAAGATGTCTACACTGTTTAAGTTTCCAAGTATTGGGCATAGTAGCAGCTGCTGCTGTTTATGCTATGCCCATACCTTTGTAATGCTGTTCTTGTATAGGTCTGAACAAGAACTTTTACTATTTTTAGATACGATTTGTCTGTCCCTTTAAGGTGCCTGTTTCCCTTCATTAACAGCACGGCAAGCCCCAGTGACTACATATATTCATCTGAGCTAAGGCCAGGTAAAAATGAACCCTTCCATACAAGAAAGCATTACAGACACTAGCAATGTAAATTTGCTTATGACTCAGTGGCACTGCTTACAATTTACAGCAGCAGATTTTTATCAGAATCCATCCCTTAAAAGGGTACCAACTCTATATTTTAGTTAAAACCTTTATGCTACAAGGAATATTGTATGTGTCAGATTGCTGTTTTCTTGCTGCCACCAGCAGAAGCTTGAAGATACAGATCTCTGAAATGGGAACTTGCTGGAACTCCTTTGTTCTTAAAATTTGGGTATTTCTAGAACCACGCAAGGTCATGAAATGTTCAACTTGGATTTGTATGCAATTTCTGAGTAACTGGGCCATCAAGTCTCTCACTGCATGCAAAATAAAGAATAAGTAGTTAAGCTACTGACGTGCCAGGGCCTGCTTCTCCATACGTGGAAATTGGGAAGATAACTAGCAGTAACTTCAAGGTGAAAGAAGCTGCTTAAGTTAATGTGCCATCTCTTTTTTTCCCAGCAGGTGTTTATATTAGAATTGATTCCATGAAGGATAGAAGCAGAAATGAATTCTGAGATAATAATAGTCCTCAGTGGTTTAAGAAGTGGTGAGGGCAGGAAAAATTTTCTGCTTTAAAAACATTTCCCTTTGAACAAGACAAGGCAACACATAAGTAATTTAGACTTTTTTTCCCAAAAAATATAATTAAATAACTTTAGTTCCAGGGGTGAAACAACCTGAACTATCAAGATCTCTGACACACAGTTTTCAGTTTCCTCAGAGAGGAGAAAGCATGTTCTTCTCCCCAAATTTATAAGGAAAATGTCCTAGGCCTGAAGACTTCTTACTTCTAAGTGTCCTATCTTTCCTCCCTCTACTCAAAGGTTATTTTGGAGACCACCTTCACTCTGTTCTGCCTAGTTAAAGAAAGCAAAAGAGCTGCCTTAAAATGAAGTCCTAACTGTAATTTACAGAATTTAGGTGAAATAAAATCTGGGCAAAAGTTAGGTATTTCTAAAGTTAGGTATTTCTGTGTATGGTAAGTACATGTATAACACAGATTTTGCTGCCTTCTCCCTGAGGTGTCTACCTGACAGCTTTTATGGTATAGTCACTCTTTACATGCATTGAAAACATTTTTTAAATTGCTGAAAATTGGGGGGGGTGGAGTGTGATGAGCCAGAAGCATCCACAGACACCACAGAATAATAGAGAAGACAGACCTCTTATAATGAGGTAAAAATAAAACAACATGAGGTTTTGGCAAAACACATGTCAAGTCTTCTATAAAAAATCTAGATGGGGTTGAAAATGTTGCAGCCTGCTGGAAGGACAGTTTCAGATAACATGGGGAGAAGTAAGGTCAAAAGCTCAGAAGCAAGGTTGGACTGTGTTTTCAAAAGCAGAATGAACAAGACTGAAGCTCAGACCATGAGGGAAGTTCCATCTCTAGTAAAAAGACCAGAGGAAAAAACAGCTTAAAGCACTTGGAAGTCAGGCTACCCTGGAAACCAGGGAGCTCACAGCCCTTCTGATAATTTAAAAACATTTCTTCAGAGCAGCATCAGGGCCAAGCTATCATGAGTCAGGTCTTCTCTTCCAGACCTGGAAGCTATGGGGAATACAATGTTCCCAGCAAGGAAGAGAAATAATGACTGTTAATTTTGATAATTGTTTTGGTACTCCAAAAGGGCAGTTCTCTTCTGCCAACTACAGATAGACTTTAAAAGCCTGAAAAGTTTCCGGGCTGTTCTTAAAATCAGAAAGCCTGAAGTAGGTAAGCATGGCCCTAACATGTGAAACCAGTTTAATTAGCATCAAAAAGCTCTTGAAAGGTATTAGAGATTTTGGTTAAGTGTAAGGCCATATCAGAACAGGATATAAAATTCCAGTCAAAGGACAGTTAGTGTTTATTTCACAGATACAGACACTTGGAATGAATGAACGTACCAAAGAACAGGTCTGGGCCTAGCCCTGGCCACAGCTCTGTCAGCAGCTGTACGTGCCAAAGCTTGGCCACTGCCCTGCGAGACAAGTACCCAGCTGGGGAAAATTCTAGGATGATGTAGGATGCAGAATGTGAGTAAAGAGCAGATTTTTCAACACTGGACCATCATGGTCGGATCATACTGACATTGTCCACTGGGCTCTAGCTGACCATGAACTGCCTGCCTGACCCAGTGAGAGGTAAAATGAAAGGTGCACAAGTGTTCACCTTCATGGGGTAAGAAGCTATCTTTCACTGCAACTATTTCACCTGGAGTGATGTTTTACACTAAATATAGCTTTGACTTTGCCTTGTCTGTTTTCCCAACCTGTAATTATGAGCAAGTTTTCTGAGCTTCAGTGTTTTGGCCTCATGAAACAATGTCGACTTCAGCTCCCGATGAGTCAGCTCATTAGAAGAGAGCCATGCGCTGGGATTGGAAGTAACCCAGCTTCTACTGTACAATTGCTGCAACTGGAAGAGCATTCTGTCACCTCATTTTAAACAAGTTCTGCTTCAAAACTGAGTCTTTTGCCCAGTACCCGTTTTCATCTAATGCCTGTCAAGGATGGACTTTATGTTCAACCAGTGCTTTATTCACATCAATACTAAAGCAGTCTTCAGGATGATGGGATCAGCATGCTTTTCAGCAGCCCTCTGAATGCAACTACTAGCTATAATTACTACTACTTTGCTACTTAGATGCTGTGTGATCCAGCAGCGAATGGAGCGTGACTTTTTTTTTTAAATATACAGCAAAGAAGAAATCAAACAACTAGAAAGCAAAGCCACAAGCATCTGCAGGAGACAGAGAAAATATAATGAGGCGCTAGCCTAAACTCTGGGGGACTAAAAAATTGAGAGTGTTAAGAGGCAATGAAACCCCTAATATCACTCTATTTGCTGGGATATGAGGAGTGTCCTGAAAAAAACAGAACTGTGTAAAGGTAGCTGCTCATATCCAAAACCATCACTGGGCTCTGTCGATCTTGACCAGCAGATCACATTGCACCAAGAGAAATGCACAAAGTGGAGGGAAATGTCAAGAAAGCTATTACGGCCACTTCCTAAGGAAACCCCCTTAAGGGTTTGTTGGTTTTTTTCCCCCCAAGCTAGGACCACCTAGAAGTGGTCCTTCAGGAAGCACCCTGTATCTGAGACCTGACTTCACTCTCTATCTGCCTAGTGTGAAGCAAATGTTTGTGTCAGAGTGTCATTAACACTGGATAATGTGGGATTTTTTT